GCGTTTTTACACTAACTAAGCTAGTCTGTTTTTAAGGAACACAGAGGCTGAGGATTGAAGGGTATGCGAAGTTCAGCCAGGTGGCATCTTGCTCCTGCTTGATCACCAAAACCCCCCAAAGGTATGAAAAATAAACAGAAAACAGGGAGGAGACGGGTGTGAGTGAAACAGGCAGTTTCGAGTGTGTGCTTGCAGGGTTGGATGGTTGTAGAGGTGCAGGAGAGTGGGCGTGGCCTTTCTCCCCAACTTCAGCTATTACATAATTGCATTTAACCAAAAACTCCTAAGGCAGTGACTTGTAGCCCTGCGTTTGCATGTTTGAGTGTGTGAGTGTATGTGTGTGTGTGTGTGTGTGTGGGCAGGGGAAGGTTGGCAGATGGCTGTAACCTTTCAAACCTCTCTCTGACTGATATATAAATCATTCTTTCTGGCAAATCAGGTTGTTTATCCTTCTGGCAGTGTGCAAAAGTGAGTCTGAGTAGGTAGTCTTTTATCTACACAGTACACGCACACAGGTTCACAAGTTCAAGTGACTCTTGCCTTGACACCTTCTTCTGTCTCATCAACCTTCTTTTCTCTTTTCTCCTTCATTTCTGATCTGCTCTCTTTCTTTTGCATCCCTTCCTTTCTCTGTATCCCTACTTCTATCTTCCTTCTATCCCTCATTCTCTTCCCTTCCCTACATTCCACTTCCTTTCAAGTCTGTTTTCCTAAACTCTACTGACCTTGTCTCTCTCTCAGTCTCTCATCTCTCTCTCTTTCATTTCTCTGCGTTCCCTCTCTCTTACCCCTCTCGTCACCTCTGATCGCTCTGTTACCTTTGACACACACACACATGCTCTCCTGCTGCACATTTTCAGTTTTGATATGTGTGTCTGCCTGCCCTGAAGCTGTGCCGTTAAAGCATCTGCTCAAGAGTGTGCGTCGGCATCTGACAAAACCTTTCATCAGTTTTATGTTTGTGTGTGTGTGTCGACGCTATTTGGTGCAGTGAGCCACATTCCCACCAAAGGCAGGTGATTGTATGGATCCCAATGCTGGTTCAGTGTAAAGTAATGCCGCTGAATGCATTCATAGCCACACACACCTTCCAACAGATCCACATGTAGGCCAGTAAGACTTACATGTCCAACTAGAAGTTAATCAGAACACAAGAAGGCAGGAATTGCCTCTCTGGCTCTACCTGTTTTTCATAAGGGTTTTCCTTTGTTGTCTCCTACAAGAACAGAATAAACACTTCAGGATTTTACCCATTAGGAGTCTTTCTTGGAGCTTTTAGGGAAGGCTTTGCTTGTTCAAATTATCTTTATTTTTTGTTTAAATTGGCAAGTCAGAATCCAAGCAAATTAGTATGATGTGGGGTTCCCCAAGGTTCAATTCTGGTACCTCTTTTATTCAACATTTATAAGCTCCAACTTGGTCAAATCTTGCAAATTCCCTTCACCAGGATGGCGCCACACCTCCAAAAGTGGTAGGGCAAAACATATTGTTTTAAAAACAAAAAAAAAACAATCGAAATGCGATTAGGCCATTGACTAAAATTGGCTTTCATGTTGTACTAATGACATGTCTTTATCAACCTATTCAGAGGTGGGTATTAACTAGTTACATTTAATCAAGTATATTGATGGATTTTTACTCTCCTGAGTATTTTCAAATCATATTACTTTCACTTCTACTAAAGTGAGTAAATTAATCTTTTTACTCTGTTACATTTTAGCCATTTGTATTTAGATACTGATTCCACTTTTTGTGTTTAATTTCGGTTTGTTTTGATGGTGGCAATATTTGTACTGTTTTGTGATTGGTTACATCTCACTTTGAATCTTTGTATTTTAGACCAAAAGAATCTTCAGTTCCTATGCTGATAAACGCTGGATGCAGTGAGAAGTTCCACTGCAGTACAGAAAATCTGCAGAAAATCTTAAGTAAATTTTCGATCTGCTTCTTTTGTATTTCTGCTAAATTTTTGAGAAGGTGTTTTTACTTTCACTTAATTATTTTATGCAGGTATCAGTACTTATATTTGAGTATTTATTTAGGCTACTGCACCCACCTCTGAACCTGATCATGAACAGTGATGGTGTTAGTTTTGATGCTGCTTTAGTAGCTGCAGCCTCAGGTAGCAGTATTTGTTAGCAATCAACTATGAAGAACATCAGGCTGTATTCATGCCCAGTTCATTCTCTAAGCACACACCACAGTTTGTAATTTGTGATAATTTGTCTCTTTTCTTTGGTTCGGATTGTGGACAGTAAGGACTGAGGTGGACTCAATTACATATGTGTTTTTGTTCATTGATCAGAAGTTTACGATGCAGCCGCTCTGTTACTTTCACATTCACCACCACCACTTCAGGAGAATGTGCACCCAGCATGCTCCTCTGACCATCAATGGTGCTGCTGTGGAGAGGGTGAGCAGCACCAAGTTCCTGGGCGTGCACGTCACAGAGGACCTCTCCTGGGCCAACAACACAGCATCACTGGCCAGAAGGGCTCATCAGCGACTCTACTTCCTCCGCAAACTGAGAAGAGCCAGAGCCCCAGCCCCCATCATGTGCACCTTCTACAGAGGTACCATCGAGAGCATCCTGACCAGCTGCATCACCGTGTGGTACTGCGCCTGCACCATGTCCATATACAGCTCCTGTCTCACCCGAAAAGCCCTCTGCCTGGCAGGTGATCCCACTCACCCACTACACAGCTTCTTCAGCCTGCTGCCATCAGGGAGGAGACTGCGGAGTCTCCGGGCCAGGACCAGCAGACTGGGGGACAGCTTCATCCACCAGGCTGTCAGGATGCTGAACTCTCTCCCTACTTTGCCCCCCCTCCCCCCTTCTGCCCCAAAACACACAGAGTTTTGAACCCAAACATAGGTTCCTGACCCCCACTCCCTAATACTGAACTCTGACATGCTCAGGGACTGTTACGCACCCATCACTTTCTGTTATGCACTCATCACTTTAACTGCTCCATAAGCTCAGTCTAAGTGCACTACTGTTTATATTTGCACTATTTATACCCACAAACCTTAATCTGTATGTGCCCCATGTCACTTTAGTGTTAATTTCAGGACCTTCTATATTTATATATTTTTTTATTGTTCTATTTTTCTACAATTAGTGTTTATTTTTACGATTAGTGTTTAGTGTTTTTTTTAATGTCTATTTAAAGTCACACTTTTCCTGTTTACTTTCTATTTAATGTTATTGCTACACCATGGGGTCTGAGAGTAACACAATTTCAATACTCTGTATGTCCTGTGCATATTGTAGTATTGATAATAAAGCTGACTTGCCTTGACCATTAAAACAGAAAAACAGAAAATAGAGATGCTTATCATTTTTGTGAATACCGATTTAAATTTACTTAATCAGGTCACTGATGCTTGGCTGAAAATTTGCTCCACAATCCATAATCAAATGCATATCATGATTTTATTACTCGACCTTTGTTATTTAAAGCAGCTCGCAGTGCAGAAACGATATGAGCGTCTGTAAAGAGTGAAATAGTAAATAGTGTTCATGTCGCTGAGGTTTTATGTGAGTGTTCGAATCGCAAAAAGTAGTGTGGCATTGCCATAGTACTTTGAAAGTGGTGGGGCAAATGCCCGCTCACCACCATCGTTCAGGCGGCCCTGCCTATCACAGTTATGCAGACAATAACTGGTTGTCTGGTGACTAAAACCTCAGACTCTTTGGCTCAATATATACAGCAAATAAACAATCGGATGCTCCAAAATTTTCTTTCACTCAACCAGAAGTAAGACAGATGACAGTAAGTGGGCACGAATCAGCACCATGTTCATCTTTATATCTTTAGTTGTCTTTAAAGAAGCTTTTCAAAAGGGTTTTTCATTGCAGTCTCCTAAACAGAATAAACAAAGAGATTTTAACAGCTAGGTGCATTTCATGGAATTTGTTGGGTAAGACTTTAAGGTGTCTTTCACTGGGTAAGACTGGCTGGTTCAGATCATATTTAGAAGGCAGGACCTTTTTTGTTTCCATTGGCAATTCTGAATCCAAGCAAATTAGTGCAACATGTGGGGTTCCCCAGGGTTCAATTCTAGTGCCCTTTTTATTCACCATTTTTTTAATGCTCACACGAGGTCAAAACTTCTCCAAACAATAATACTAAAAAATTCCATCCCAGTTATGCAGACAGTACCCAGATCTACCTAGCTATATTACACGGCACCCAAGGCCTCATAGAATGATGGTGTCAATATATTGAACAAACAAACAACTCATTTAAAGAAGGAATTGAGATCATTTGTTTGGCACCAAAGCATGAAGGTCTAAGGTCAGTGCTTACCTTGATGTCAAGACTCTAAACCACTGTACTAAAGGGACATAGTGGAATTGACAAGGCTAAAAGTTTTGAGGCATCCTCGATATATGGGGAACCTCCAAGTGTGTCTAGACAGCTGCAGGCATGTCAATGCAAAGGACCTGCTACTACACCGGAAACTACTTTTGATTGAACTGGGAACATGAGCCAAAATGAAAGAAAATGTTTTTTTAAAAAAACCTTTTCATGCAACTCTTCAAAACATAACAGAGAATGAAAAAATGCTTATCAGTTGAACACCATACATAAACCCATTGCATTTTTTATTAAACAGATATGGTCACATAGTGGGATGAACACTGAAAGGGTCTTGGCCAGATGCATAAATTGATATGGCAGATGATGAAGAATACTAAGCACGTGTCTTTGAAGTCACATGCAAATATTACACAGTTATTAACAAAACAAATATACAAAAAATCCTCAGTCAGAAAGTAAAAGTGCTGCTGGTTTCTCCTTCCCTGTTTTCAGAACGATCATTAGCTTCACACGGCAATGATCCTTATTCACAGTTTACATTTCGAATAAACGCAGTTGACTGATTTATAGCACTCCCACAGTATGAAGCGATACCACATTTCTACGTACTAGGGTACACATCTAAAAGTCAACATGGCGAGATAGCTATTCCTTATTAACATCGAACTCCTAGTAACTATTGACTTTTTATTGCTTTTTGTATTTCTTTACTCACTATACTATCTCTATGTAATAAAATGAAACATAAATAGAGCTTATTAAAATTTCTTACTTCATTTGACAAACAAAAGCACATTTTGTTGATATATCACATATAAATGAGAAAGGGAAAGCAATGGCTGAATCCCAAATGGCTCTTTGCTCCCTTTATAGTACACTACATTGGTAAATAGGTTCTACTACATTGGTTCTACACTCAATATGTGCACTATACTGCCAATAAGGAGCCATTTGGGGTTCAGTCAATAGGTGGAATGGAAAAGGCTTGGTTAGCTTTTCTCTAGCTAGGCCTATGGAAGTGCACACATGTCCATGTTTCTGACACTGTTTGACATACGGTCATCTATTGAAATAGACAAACGTATATCACATGGCTAAAAAACAGTAGTAGCAGCCATCTTGCAACCTGAACTTTTTTTTTTTTGCCCATTTTTGATTTTTGGATTTCTTAGTTTCTTTAGGTTAGAAGATCATGCATTTTCGGCAAGTTGGCTAGTTATTCACGGGTTAGTTAACAAAGAAAACCACTGACTTGATCTCTAAATTTAAAAAATGTAGATCTCCCTCAGTGATCGGTCTCTCAAGAGTCCAGTTTAAAACATTGAAGTTGGCTGGTGTTCTGTCCATATGAGGCTTCTCTCCTCTACAGATGAGTGGATTCTCTGCGGTTTCTCGCGTGATTCCTGTAGTTGAACTTCACGTGCAGTCCATTGACCGGATGGACGATCGGCACCGTCTGCATCCTGGGGTATGTCTCCGTGGCCAGTGTCCACTCAGCAGTGGCCAGCAACTCCACGCACAATGTTTTCAGCACAAGCACAGCCAGCTCACGGCCAATGCACCTCCGCACGCCGCCTCCGAATGGCACGTAGCTGAAGCGGCTAGCTCTGCTTTCATCCCGCTCAGGGCTGAAGCGGTCCGGGTCAAAGAGCTCCGGGTTCTGGAAGGCAGGGGAAGTCTCGTGCGTGTCGCGGATGCTGTACATGACGCTCCAGCCCTTTGGGATCTGGTAGCCCTGCAAGCAGAGAAAAGAAGGAGTAATATTAGCAACATCATTACCTGATTAGCTTTTATGGCTTTACCACATCAGTAGTTTATTCATTAAGTACCTCTATAAACAGTACAGTACTACTATGTAAGTGTATTTATGAGTAGGAGTGCAACGATAAGTCAACAATAGGGGCATTTCTAGACCCGTACTTGCACTGGGGCTGTTCCATGGGTGACTGGCTGTTAAATGTAGATCGACAAATGTTGGTATTTCTATGATGTTACATGCTTGGGAATGTCCTTCTTCAAATACTGCTAGCATTGTACTGAGAGCAGTTGCTGTAATCTTACAGCCTGGCTATGGAAACTGAAAGCATCCAAAAGAAAGATACTGGGGGGCTGTGGAAGATGCACTCTCTGTAGTGAATTTGCCCGGTCACTGTGTAGTTTAGCCCAACAGTCAAGGTTAAAATGTTGTTTTATTGTCAATATATTTTGTTATTGTGTTGTTTTCAAGGACACACAGTGTCATTAATGTGAAACACCACTCCTAAGGTAGCATCAAAAGCCACTAGATTGCCCCCTTGTGGAGAATATTAATGCTGCCAAACATGAGTGTGTATGTGAATGAGTTACAAGCCAGATCCATGAGGTGCTTCACACCTAAATATCTAAAAAAAATTCATATGACATATGCAGAAGCCCATCTGCTGATGCACGAAAGATATGTAAGTCATCCTCTAGCACAGTGGTTCCTAGAGTGACCTTTGCGCTGCACATTTCGTATCTTCCAAGCTCTCAATGCACCTGATCCAATGAAGCAGTTAATTTGCAAGCCATTCCTGAGTCAAAGTGGGTGATTTTGAGCAGGAAAACACAAAAATGTGCAGGGCAGGGGGTACACCAGGACAGTTGAGAATGGACCACCACCCAAATAATATCTGGACAACAGCAGTCCTATGGTCATCAACTGGCCAATGATAAGTTAAGTAGAGGGCAACTGTACAAGGCAGATTTTTCTAATAAAGTGAAAACACTCACGTCCAGCTCAAACGTTTGCAGGACTGTCCTATATCCCCCAGACACTGGCGGGAGATATCTGAGCACCTCCTTGACCACGCAGTCCAGGTAGCTGAGCTGATTCAGCTTCTCCAGGCTCAAGTAAGGCACGTGGGTCCGCGAGCGATGACCTTCCTCCAAACAGGTTGTCTTATCAAGCAGGGGTTTGGTTTTGAGCTCAGGACACACCTCCTCCTGGTCCACACACTTTTCCACCTTTGAGTGCAGGCCACTACCCTCGGCACAGCGTGATCGGCAGGATCCACGAGCCTCTGTGATCAAACCTTCTGCCTCGAGCTCGGCCCTCACACGCTCTGCCACGTCAGGATGCCGCATTAACTGGAGGATGAGAGATGTGGCCGCACTCGCGGTAGTGGAATGAGCGGCGAAGATCAGCTCTACTGCAGTTTCCTGCAAAAACAGATATAACTTTTATGGAGCTTTCAAAGTAACCAGTGAATGCCAGGGTGTAACTGTGCATTCTTCCATTTACATTGTAAGGATGTACAGTTACTCCCTGTGGTTGGTGTAGTGTAGTGGATAACACCTCTGCCTTCTATGCTGTAGACTGGGGTTCAATTATCTGCCTGGGTAAGCACCCTGCGCTATACCAATAAGAGTTGCTGGGCAAGACTCATAACACTACCTTTGCCTACCTGTGTAAAAATGATCAAATTGTAAGTCGCTCTGGATAAGAGCGTCTGCCAAATGCCATAAATGTAAAATTCAGGGCTGTTTCTCTATGCACAGTATAGGACCCACATGGCACCCTGTTTTCTAATGTAGTACTTGTTTGAACTTTTGTGTACTGGTTGTAAAAGGGGTGACAAGGTGGCGCAGTGGGTGACGCTGTCACCTCACAGCAAGAAAGGCCTGGGTTTGATTCCATGGCCGTGTCCTTCTGGCCTTTCTGTGTGGAGCTTGCATGTTCTCCCTGTGTCTGCAAGGGTTTCCTTTGGGTACTCCAGTTTCCTCCCACAGTCCAAAGACATGCAGCCAGGCTAACTGGAAACACTCAATTGCCCCTATATGTCTGTGTATCTACCTTGTGATGGACTGGTGACCTGTCCAGGGTGTTTCCTGCCTTCTGCCCAGTGACGGCTGGCATAGACTCCAACAACCCCGATGGATAAGTAGTTTAGAAAATGTGTGTACTGGTTCGAAAAGGCTTCTGATTGAAGGTCATACCTTGAGCTCCTGCATGGTCAGGTTGTAGCTGTTCTCCTTTGCGCCGCTCAGCATGTAGTCAAAAGCATCGCAGTATTCGTCCTCTTGCTCCTGCTTCTTCAACTTCTTCTCAATGATGTTTTCCATGGCAGCATGCAGAATGTCCCGTGCTCTTTTTCCCTAAATAAAGAGATCAAAATATGAAACTCTGTTATGAAAAACCACATTTTTAATGTGAAAATGCAACTTTTTGTTTATTTGTTTCATACAGAGGCTGAACCAGGCATGGGTGGATGTGAATGACTTCTAGCACTGAAGAAACACCTGCAGCGATGAATTCATACTGTTCATTCATACTGACATCCAGCTGTACCAAAGAGTGCACTGTCAATGTAAATTCAAGGCCATACCAAATGTACTGTCATGAGCGGCTACTGGCTGGCCTCTAGATGCTCGTGAGGCGTGGCCATTAGTTCGAGGATGATGGGAGGTGCAAGTCCTCCAGAAATGGGATTTTTTTGTGTTGTTTATGTTGTTGTTCATTAGTTAAGGTTATGCTCTGTGGGTTTATTGTGTTGTTCTGTGTCAGGGGATTTGGGTCGTTAGTGTGGGTTGGTGGTCACCATGTGGGTGAAGTGTATGGCTAGTGCTGACCTCCCCTGTGAGTTCACTGTGTTGAATGTGCCTTTCCATTCTGGAGTTTAATAAGGAGCACCTCTCGTGGTGGAAGCATGGCCTTCCCTGTGTGTTACTCTACGCCAATGCTACAGTATCTTCAATGTACCAGACAACACAGTGATAAGCTTCCTTGAAAGTTTATGTTCAAATGTACGGCCATGTATGGTGCTTTACTTTGTGTTTGTCATAAATGTGTACAAAAGTCCTTTTTACTTATGATTTCAGTTATGATGATGGTAATTTTACAACTTTGGGTTGGCTGCATTAAAGGTACTCACGTATTAGCATGCTAGTAAGCTCTGTCACCTCAGACAGCTAGTCTTTCAACTAGCCACAAAGCTAACTACGACTTGCTGACTCAATATGACTACTGTGAGAGGATCCTTATATTCCGGTTCTTCAATGCTATTAGCTTAGTAACATTAGCTAATCCACTGTCCCATCTAAATAGGGTAGAGTTGGTGGAATTAGATAGAATTATGAGGATTTTTATATGCTAGCTAGCTAAGCTATAAGTATCAGATACATTTGAATCCTTGCTTTTATATGAAATATTGATGTCTTACATTATTTTCTTATACAAAACTGATTTTTTTCACTAACAAAGGTTTTCTTAAATGTAGTTAGCTAGTTAATGTTGGCAAATCAGTTGTCCCAGATATAGAGGGTAGTCTTGGCCAGTTAGAACGAATTATGAGTATCTGTTTGGGCTAGCTAGCTAAGTATGAACGTATGAGAGAGATATTAACTCATGTTTTTAGGTAGGCCAATGTGTTAAACTCACCAAATTAACAGAAATTGTGCGCTAAAGTTTGCCGAAAAATGGCATATTTTAGTTTAGAGAACGTGATACCTATTTTTTACGTAGAATGTACCTGTACAAAACATATAATTTGACAAGAGGTGTTAAATTTTTGCATATGACTGTATATCACATGTCTTATATTTCCTTAGACTTGCCCACTCATCTTTTATTCAGCACTTTGGGGGTTAATTTGCATATCTTTGGTGTTGTTGTTGCTATGACAACCTTTTCTTCTTGTTATGATTGGCCAGCTGATTAAAAATCTGAATAATATCACTCAGTGTTTTTGTAAAAAACCTACTTTTTCCCAAAAGTGAAGGCGTCAGTGTCAAAAAAGTAGTTGCACAACTCTGTGGGGGTCATTTTGCTTATCTTTGGTGCCGTGGTTGCTATGGTAACCTTTTCTTCTTGTCGTGATTGGCCAGTTGATTAAATAGGCGGATGATGTCACTCAGGGCTTTTGTGAAAACCATACTTTTTCCCAAAAGTGAAGGCCTCATGGCCAAAAAAAAGTTGCACAGCTTTTTAAAGCGCAACTCCAATCTGAGAACCTTGCAATTACGTTTGAACACACCCTGAGCTCTATTTTAAAATTGCTTCTACAGCCAGAGCCACCTACGTACGCAGCTCACTAGGTATTATACGCCTATAAAACAGACTATAAGACAGTGCTGTAAGTGATGATGTGATGTTACGATGGGATGTGTCTGATCCACCCTCACTTTTCGCAGGCCGCTGAGAGGCGCGTCCACAGGCAGTGAGAACAGGTTGCTCATGAGCTGTTCGAAGATCTTGGAGAGGTAAACGATGCGCTGCTCCTCCAGCCGCAGGCCCAGCAGAGCACGCATGGCCACGCGGAAGGTGAGGGACCTGGTGGCGTCGTAAGCATCCACTGAACCCGCCTCCGCGCACCACTGCGCCACCTCGCACTTCACCACGTCCTGTAGGCGCAACAGGTAGGTCTCCAGCGCCTCACGGCTAAAGACGCGGGCCAGGATCTGGACAGGACACAGAATGGACGGTGTAGGTTCATTCAGATCTGTCACTGGCTCACTTTACACTATAGGATAAAGAATTAGTCCACCATTTTTTCAATTTTCAGAATTTCTAAGGATTTTGGGTGATGTGAAATGTATACATGCAACAACAGCACAGGGCAGACCCCTGCACAAGCATTTTGGGGGGCTCGGGGGGAAAAGGGCAACATGAGTATGAATCACAGCTAATTTAATTAGATTATATAATGCAATCACTGACAGTATCATTATGTTTCAGATAAAACCGTAATCGTAAACTCTAGAAAGTAAAGAATGTTGGGATAATAAGTATTATTACAACATAATGACTTAATGAAGAGATCATTGTAGCGTGTTTGAGAAATGTTTTCATGTTTATTATGGGTTATTGTTCTACAGCAGTTATTCTTGGGGTTATTCTGCAGTATCGGACTGTGAAAGTGGGGCCAGTCCACCTTATATCTGTTTGAACGAGAAATACTAAGTCAATTAGGGCTCGGATGTGAGTGAGACCTGAGTTAATGCTAGAGCTAGCTGTTAGCCAAAAGTCTAGCTTTCTCTACGGTGTGGCTGGGGCCAACTACAGCCTTTAATAAAGCACATCGACTTGTGCATAAGATGTGTGTCTGATTTAAGCCCCTAAGTGGCCAGAGCTCATTGGTGGGCCCAAAGCTTTATTACACACTTTATAACCTAAGAACAGCTCAGCCAGTTCGCACTAAAGTCCCTGTAGTTACTGAATAATAAGCCTTAGTATATAATAAGCCTGGATTTTAAGGGTTTAATATCAGTAAAACACTACAATACTAACTCACTATTTCAACATAGTAAGTCATGATTTTGAGAAAGTGAGTCATTCTGAGATAATAAGTCAATATTTTGAGAGAGACTGGGCTTCCATAAGTATTCAGTATTAACTGCAGAGTCCATACAGAAACCAATTAAAACCAAAATCCCAAATTTGGGTTTTAGATCTAAAATATGATTTCTGCAGAAGTAACTATGCTTCAGCTCTTGACTGTTGGGTTGTTGCTCACCTTCCTCTTCTTCCTGTGCAGCTCCCCGGTGGAGTTGACCAGCGTGTGCGGCCCCAGGATGATGCGCGCGCTCTGGGGCCACTGCGTGCTCACCAGCGTGTGCTCACCCAGCAGGATCTTCCGCACGTGCTCGGCGCCGGTCACGCGGATAACGGGCTTCCCCAGCAGGTGCGTCTTAAACACGTTACCGTGCTTCTGCCGCCGCGAGATGTGGAAGCTTGAGCCCTGAGAGAGAGAGAGAGGCAGAGAGAGAGAGTGACAGAGAGAGAGGGAGAGAGGGGAGAGAGGGGAGAGAGAGAGAGAGAGAGAGAGAGAGAGAGAGAGAATAAAGTAAATATACTGGAGTAACACTACTACTAATAATAAGAATCAAAGGACGAAACAAAAAGAACATAATAAATACTAGTAATAATAATACTGATTATTATTATTATTATTATTATTATTATTATACAACTACATTAATAATACTAAAGATTTTAATGAAAATCTTGCAGACATTGACTTTCCTTGATTCAAAACATTTCAATATATATAAATCACAAAGGCAGTGGTTCTATATAGAACCATGAACACTCAGAAAACCATTTGAATGTGTAAAAGGTTCTCTATGATGGAAAACCAGTCGTATATGGTTCTTTAAAGAACGCTTTTAAAAAGCGTTCTGTATAGTTCTAAAATGTGGTTCCACTAGTGTAGCACTACTGTCAAAGAACCTTTTTCAGTACTATTTAGATCCCTTTTTCTACCTTCATATGAATATGAATCATGTAAACACAGAGTACCACTTTTTAAAAGGAGAATTCCACCAAAATTTTCAAAATGTCTGAAGAACATACAGACTCAGAGTGTCAGTCACTCAGAGTGGTTTGGTGTGAAATACTCCATTATAGAGGAACTCAGATGTCTTTACAGTGGTGGTGATAGGAACCAGGGGTCACCATGACTACAACACAAATATAGCCTTTTCATTTACTATCTAAACCACCAGTGAACCTACACGTGAGTTTATATATTGGTTTTGATTTAAAAACATAAAAATAAAACAAATGAAAATAGTGGTAAATCATAAAAAGAATGGATTTCAAAAAGTACGTTTTAGGTCCAAACTATTGTAAACTCTTAAAAACAGATGGTTCTACGAAGAGTTCTTCAAGAGTAAAGACGAATAGTTCTTAATAGAGCCATGAACACTCAAAGAACCACTTGCAAGATTAAATGGTTCTTTTCCTCAGACTAAACACAACACATCCTCCATCAAGCTGAAAAACTGTTTCACAATGTAAAAGAACCATTTTAACATGCATAGTTCTTTGAATGTTCACGGTTCTATACAGAACCACTGTCTTTACTTAAGAACACCTGAGGAACCATCCTTTTTAAGAGTGTATATAGAACCACTTAACAATATCATGGTTCTTTGCATGGTGAAATTGTTCTTCAGATTGTTGGAGAATGTGTTGTGTTTGTTCTGTATAGAACTTTTTTGAAAATGGTTCTATACAGCACCATAAAGTGTTCTGCTATTGTGACAAGCTTGACATCGTAACAATAAAAGAACCCTTTTTTGGTGCTGTATGGATGCATTTTTCAAAAGGTTCTGTATGGAACAATATACAACACTTGGAATGGTTCTAGATAGAACCATTTCTTGTACTAAAGAACCCTTGAAGAACCATCTTTTTTAAGACTGTAGATCTTTTGTCTCAGCTGTCAGGCAGCGTATTAAGGCATTAAACTCTCCAGATGTCTGGTTCCCATCACCACCTCTGTGAACAACTATCTAGAACGGAGCGTTTCACATCAAACCACTCTGAATGACTCTGTTTATATCTTAACCATTTAAACCTTTGCAGAAAGTTTGAAAATTCGGTGGAGTTTCCCTGTAAGCGAACCTGAGCGTTCTGATCAGGTGTGCTGGAGCAGGAGAAGGTTCTCCAGCTTCTCCCTGAGCAGAACTGAGGAACGCAGTTCAGTGTGTTGAGTGTCTGACCTGCAGTAGCCAGTGCAGCGTCTCTCCCACCAGCGGCCAGCCCATGGAGCCGCGCGGCAGCGGCAGCGTGCAGCTCCTGTCGCGCGCCGAGCTCCACCTCAGCCCCCACAGCGCGCGGGAGAGCAGCAGCAGGAGCAGGGCGGGCACGAGGGAGCACAGGGCCGCCACAACAAACATCTCCAAACAAATAACCAACAACAACTACAGCCACAACACAAACACAAAACACTAACAGACAACTACCAGACTAATAATCAACACCACAAAATCAATAACCATTAATATAATAAATTAAAAATACAAAAAACAGCTACTTTTACTACAACACAATGGACAAATAACAAAAACAAACAGTCCGCGCGCGTCTAGAGTCCGTCAATGGGACTCTTGATAAAGCAGTTCAAACAAAAAAAAAAAAGAAAAAAGGAAGAAAACAAAGAGAAAAAAATAGAAAAATATTTTCTAAAAATCCTAAAAGTTTGGCGCCCTGTTTGATGGTCTCCGCTCAAATTTTCAATCTTCAGAAACCTGTAAAAAAAAAGAGAAGCGGCTGTTTTAGGCGCAGTGATGAGGTTTAGTGAGCTCCGCTCTGCTCTCCGCTCCGCACTCCTTACTGCGGCTCTCCAGGCTGCGTGCGCCGGCTCGCCCCTCAGCCGCCCGAACACACCCCCCGGGGGCTGCGCTGCGCGAGGGGCAAAGCCGGGCGCGCGCGAGAGCGGAGCTCCACCGAGAGAAGTTTGGAAAGAGAGAGACAGAGAGGAAAAGAGAGAGAGAAAGAGAGAGAGAGAGATCACACTTACCTCAGAGAGAGAGCGGAGCGGACGGGTAAATAAAAGCAACCAACAGGACCAAATCTGTGTGTGTGTGAGTGTGTGTGAGTGCCGAGCGCGCGCATGTGTAGCGTGTATGTGTCTTTAGCGCTCCGTGCGCTCCGCGCGCTTTATAAACATCGGTACTTTCTGAACCACCTTCACCGATGACGTAGGAGGGGTTTTTACTGAAAGTTGAAGAGGTGAATGAAGAGAGAGAGAGAGAGAGAGAGAGAGAGAGAGAGAGAGAGAGAGAGAGAGAGAGAGAGAAGGTTAAAGAGAAGGAGAAGAGAGAGAGGTCAGCGAGATGGAGGATGAGAAAGAAAGAGAAAGAAAGAAAGAGGGGGTAGAAAAGAGAGAGAGAGAAAGAAAGAAGGGAGAGGGAAGGAGAGATGAGTGGATCAAACGGCAACTAATTGAGGATACTGGTAGCTGATCACAGATTATTTCTTTCTTTCTTTCTTTCTTTCTTTCAAGCTGAGAAAATCAAGCTGCTTCAGATCTGAAAACATCCACAGGTGTTTCTGTCCATCCTTCCACTGTGAGAAGACGACTCAGCGCTGTGGGTCTGAAAGGATGTGTAGCTGTCAAGAAGAGCCTCACTGAGAAAAGGAGACACATCAAACAAAGAAGCTGAACAATGGACTGACCACCCCAGAGTCCAGACCTCAACACCACTGAATGTGTTTGATTACTTCAGAAAATGATCAACAAACTTCTAAGACAGAGCTTTGGAGGTGTGTCTGCAGATTTCTTTGAGAAATAAAAGTGAGTCTCCTGAAAAGAATGGAAGCTGGAGTGAAGGTGAAGAGTGGATGCAGTGAATGCTGAAAAAACAATGTTATGCTTAGTTGTTGAGGTTTCTCTGTAATTTTTTGTCAAATACGTTTTCTTTTTTATTTTTTTGGTGACTCTGACAGAGAGCACAGAGAGGTCATATGTTTAACTTTGCTTATAATTTGCACATTCATGACCCCAAAACTCATTATTAATAAACAATATTAATAAACAACACAAAGTTCTGTCGACTCCTCAGTGTTCCAGCATTTACACAACCTGAAAAACAACAATAAAAGTCTTTAAATTGCAGAAATCTGAATCCTCAGAATGAAACACTTTATTAAAACGTGTGTTTTTTATCTCAGTTGCTCCCATAATGCAGTGCGGCACAGCTCAGCGTCATTGTCACAGTAATTTGCTGCGCTATGATAAAAATTGTCTTAAGTGGAGTCGATCTGGCAGTAGTAACAGACAGTGGTGTAACTGGACGGTCCTTCACTCACAGCCACAGACACACATTCTGGCCAATGACAACTGGGACAGCCTCCAGCACCCCCTATCCCCCAACCCAGGAGGATAAGTGTGTCAGATAATGTGTGTTTGTGTGTATATATATTATTGTATGTTGTATAGGAGATGAGGAAAAACATCTGGGTGTGGGATCAGGAAAAAATTATGACAAACAAAAAAACTGCAGCTAATTTAACCAAAAATTTAAAAACACAATCATATATTTTTTTTCTACAGAAATACTCCTCGGATTGAAAAATCACCCAGTTTACAATGTGCTGGTGAAAATGTGGAGATGAGGCAGCAGCAGGAGAGAGGGAAGAATAAAGAACATGTGGGAAGATTAAAAAAATGAACGAAAGTAAGGCGTTATTGAACAGATGAATAAAAAGATGGAAAAAATAAACCAGTTATAAAAAAAAAAGGAAAGCAATTATGCAACAGGACTGAGAGCATATTCTCTCTCTCTCTCTCTCTCTCTCTCTCTCTCTCCCTCTCTCTCTCTCTCCCTCTCTCTCCCTCTCTCTCTGAGTCATGCTGTTGTCTGCAATGTTGAGATTTTCTTTCAACACCTGATGCACACGCAGCAAAACCACCGCCAGCCTCCTCCACACGCCTCAGCAACAGCGTCACTTCACAACAACAACAGACTCATCAGCCACAATTCAGACTTTAATGAACTCGCGGCTAACAGCGCCACATCTGCCCTGTGAGCTGGACAAGGAAGGATTAAAGTGACCACAAGGCTGTATCCTACTGGAGACAGGAGACCTCGGTTTAGCACTGACAGCATAGTGAACATTCATAATAAAATATTCACAATCCCATAACTAACATACCCCCACATTAACATTTCTCTCATTAACATACACCTTATTAACATACATTCTATTAACATAGACTGACGTATCTCCCATTAACATACACTCCATTAACATAATAACAATAATATTGTGAATATTATTACAGCATGCTATAGTTATATATAAATTATGCCTCACTCATAGCATCATTGTGTAACAGATTTTTTTGGAAAGTGCAGACTCTAAACTTTCCATCCATAAGACATTTGTGTTTGTAAGTATAGGAGGGGACATTTTATTATGATTTGAATTTGATGAAAAGTTATTGTTGCGTGTAGTGAAGAGCATTTTACACTCTACCTGGTTTGTCAGACGCTAGAGGGCGCTCCTGGGTGAATCCAAAATGAATGGGTTCCTATGGAGCTTTTGTGCAAACTTACAGTTTGTCAACTCTTAATCATTTTAAGAACTGACATGAGTTTGCACAGAAGAATCAGCACTCAGTAGCAGAAATGCTAACCAGTCAGCACTCAGTAGCAGTAATGCTAACCAGTCAGCACTCAGTAGCAGTAATGCTAAACAGTCAGCACTCAGTAGCAAAAATGCTAAGCACTGCTAACCAATCAGCACTCAGTAGCAGTAATGCCAACCAATCAGCACTCAGTAGCAGTAATGCCAACCAATCAGCACTCAGCAGCAGTAATGCCAACCAATCAGCTCCCAGTAGCAGTAATGCCAACCAATCAGCACTCAGTAGCAGTAATGCCAACCAGTCGGCACTCAGTAGCAGTAATGCCAACCAATCGGCACTCAATAGCAGTAATGCCAACCATTCAGCACTCAGTATCAGAAATGCCAACCAATCAGTACTCAGTAGCAGTAATGCTAACCAATCAGCACTCAGTAACAGTGATGCTAACCAGTCATTTGTCTCTGCTTGCTGGTTCATGGTGATTAATCAATTACATTAAAAAAAAAATTACTTCTCAATCAAAGTCTTACTGCAAAACAAGAATTTTGTCATCCTGCCTAATATGATCAGGAACATGAACGAACAAGTTAAAAGGGTCTGGATGGATCAGATTTTGGTTTCTAAACTTGAAATGTATCTCTGAAAGGTCTAATGAGACTCTAATGAGTTTAATTCCAGTCCAGAAGCTCTGATTGGGTGAAGGCAGAAAGGCCTCTGAAGAGCTCCGTCTCCAGACTCTATCAGCCTGAGCTCTGTCTCTGGGTCCAGCTGCTTTGAAAGCACTTCTCCAGAGGAAGAATGAGAAGTCCCGTGTGTAAACAGAAGCTTAGCTAGATAGCTAGTGTGGATCCCGGATTAGGGGTCTTCACTAATCCATTAGGACGACACCTCTGACCTCCGGCTCCTCTCCTGTCGTCTCAGGATCAGGAGCTTCAGTCCTGCAGGCCACAAAGCACCGCATGTTACTGCTTTGCCTGATTTTGCAGATTAGCGAGCACTTAGTGAACTATTTTGAAGCGATAGTTCAGCAAAAATCAAACGTTTTCTGCTCTTAGCCCAAACATAGTTGATCCAAAACATGTTTGGTGGCTTCTTTAGCTTTGCCCTGGAGGCTGATGTAGCTAACAAGCAATGGGATCTTATATCCCACCAACTAGCATGAAGCAAACTGCTGTTTTGCTGTATCCTAGGGTTTCAATCATGTGATTTCTCTGTTGTGGCTGCCATATTTGGGACTGAATTTCTGGCTCCGCTGCTCTGCATGAATGTAAGTGGAGGTGAAAGATGGCTAAAATTACTCCCCTTATTTTGAAATAGAAAAAAGCGTTACATCGACAAAGTCAATAAAGTAGGCTGTGATCCTTATAGAGTTTCCCCTGAACTCCTGGTCCCACTTAAACTGGCAGAAAAGCTGCCAAATTTGTGTTTTCCTTTATCTCATACACAATTCTCTATTCTGTAGAGTCTTTCAAAGCATTTAAAAGCACAGAAGCCCACCGGTTCTTCACATAAGGGTGGGTTGTTGCATAAGGAGGAGAAAAAACTCTTTGTCATCATAGGATGGTAAGGCCACATCAGCTCATTAACACAGATGTAAACAATGCTAGCCTTTAGATAACGTTTGCTAATGTTAACAGCCGAGAGGTGAACAGTCGTCCCCCTAACGGAGCTGCAGACAGCTGGTGTAACTTTACTTCTCTGTTTCTTGAGATTTAAATGACGTTTGAGTGGAGAAACATAAGCGTTAAATATCAGACTGAATGTCGTGGGTCGGAAAACTACGTTGTGTTTCGACAGACGTGATTTTGAAAGTTTGCTAGTGCAGTTAGTGCAGAGTTCAGCTCCAGTCCTGAAACCCCTGCACTGCATAACTGTGATTTCCCTGGTTAAAGTACCTGATATTATTAGCTAATTAATCCCTTAAGCTGAACAAGGCGTGAACAGCAGAGAAAACACTGAACTATACAGTGCAGGGGCTCCAAGCTTGGAGTGAAAACACTGAGTTAAAGGTCTTGCAGGTGAATCATTCACAAAGCACAGCAAATTGAAGGCGTCACGCAGTGCAGTCACTCCCGATTCAGTCCTTAAAATGGCCGGGACTATGCAGTGTGACGACATGCGAAATATGAGAACAGCACCATGCAAAACTTTCATTTATTTAATTTCCAGTCAAAGAGGGCCGTTAACTACAAGTTATTCATATAACATTTATTGTTTCCCAAACTGGAATTCTTAAAATTATTAAAAGCTACAGAGAAAATGAGACTCTTAACAACCACCTGGAAGACCCTGGTAGACACCAAAACTGTCCCCATCAGGTAAACAGTCCCAGCAGCTCAGACTAAGACGGACACAGTAACAAGCATATAAAATGTTTGTAATGTGACAGAGAGATGGAAAAGACAGGAGAGGAAAAGTGGAGAGTTGAGAGAGAAAGAGAGAGAGAGAGAGAGGGAGAGAGAAAGAGAGAGATGGAGAGACAAAAGAGGAGGGAGGGAGAGAGACATTCCCTGTCTGAGGTGTTTGGTAAA